GGTGGGTGCTCGATGTTCGGTTCTGATGGTGAGTTCCCCGGTTTGGCCACTGCTCTATCCTAATCAATGTAGTCTTGGAGGTGTCCCGCCGCTATTAAGTCTTCCAGACATTGCTTTAGTGCTCTGCAGTTCTGAGTCATATGCCCCCTGTCTTGGTGATAGGTGCATCTGTGCTTTTGATTACGCCGAGCCGGATCTCCCAACATTTTCGGCGGCCAAACAAAGAAGGGCTCTCTCTTGATCTTTTCCAAGATACGATAGATTGGTTCTTTGAATACAGTCACGATTGTTTCGTGAGATTTGGACTTATCCATCACATTCACTATGAGTCCTCGGTGTCCCCCTCGATCTGTTCTCTTCTTGTGCCGAGCTGTTTGTTCTGCTGATGCTACCTCGATGGGGATTTTGTCATCTTCAAGGAGAACGTACTATTCAATCCTAGCACGCAAATTTTTCAGTGCTATGGCCGGGCGCTTGGTAAGTGACTGCCTTAACTTACTTTCAGGGCACAAACCATGTTTGAAAGACATAACAGCCATCTGCTCACTGCAAACGTTTTCCTCCAGGTCATTGTACTCGTTCTAATACCTCATAGAATAACTGCACAGCTTTTCTTCCTGTTCCTTTCGGAGACCGAACAGTGTATCCGGCTCTTTCGGGATCTTAGTGTTGGAGACAAATCTAGCTAAGAACTTTTCAGAGAGCTGCTTCCAGTCATAAATTGATCTAGCGGGGAGTCGATCGAACCATCAAAGTTCGGATTCTCCCAAGCTGGACGGGAAGACTTTGCACATTAGTGCTTCGTCTCGACTCCATAGGGACATCATCTGTCTATAATGGCTGATGTGTGTCAATGGGTCTGACTTCCCATCGTACGACGTGAACTTTGGCGGGGTGAATTTTTTGAGAGGTCTCATGGCCTCGATTTTTGGGGAGAATGGGGAGGAGACAAGCCTATCCAATGCTCAGTGCTCTCTCTGGTAGATGCTACGGTCTAGATAATCTCGATGTTGCTCATTCTACTTGTTGCCAATCAGCCAAGTACGAAGGTCTTGAGGAGGGTACTCAGTCTATTGGCTAACCGTTTTCTGCCTCTTAGCCTTTCTCCTTTCTCCGGCGTGGCCCACAAGTGTGGTTGTTCGCCGGCTCACTTTGTACCAATATTGGCTGGCTCTGTTGCCCAGACTCATTTCTGGGGAACTTTTCACTGGTGGTTCTCTGGACGAGCTTCTCTGTCGTAGGCAAGAGGGCTCTGCTTCAGTCTTCTTCTCCGTCAGATCATCCAGCACCCTTTTGAGTTGCGCTTTTAGCTCCTGTATCTCCATCCCCATGAAGTCTATGATTCGATCTCTGCAATCCTTTTCCAGAAGAAAGTGATGAGAAGAACCTCGAGCGAAGGCAATCGATGATCAACGGATTCGAGGGTCCATTATTGTTTCTGGTTTGTTCTTCTAAGATTGTTAGGAGTGCCAAGCCTTTGTCCTTTGTCTTCTCCGTCTGTGGAGTATGTGTCGAAGGTGGGATGTCCTCAATCCCCATCGCCGGAACTGAGTGCAGAGCTCAGAGACAAAGCGTTCACGCTTACCGCACCAATTGTGCGTACTGAATACCACACTTGATGATTGTGGATCGAAGCTCCGCACTTGGTTGGACTATCCAGGAATTGAGGCCCTACAACAAGGAGCACCGTCAGAGCTGCCAGGCTGGGGTTGGCCATATAACCCCTCCGGTATGGGAATGAGTAATCGGAGAAGGAGAAAGATGCTCTCTCAGTGTAGAGAGTTCAGTTTTAGTAAGTAGGGTTTAGCTTAGATCAGTCACCTTCAATGTGAAGTTAGAGTGTGGTTTATATAGAACTCCTTGCTTGTTGTCCAAGATGGTTTCATGGAGCTCTGGTGCTGTCAAGTTTCCTTTTAGTATTGCCTAGGGTGGAGGACCATCTAGTAATTGTCAAAGGGGTACATATACTCATTGTGGTCATGCTGATAACAAACCACATTCTTTTGGTTTAACTGTTTCCATGATTCTAGGTGTAAGGGACCAACTGAGGTGGCAACTTGCACATGCATATACTTACAGCTTCCACGTTTCTCTGAGAGGTTCCCTCAGCTCGGTACCATTGTGCCTCAGCTCGGCCCTTTGCGAGACTACTGTAGAGATGGGCTGGCCCATTCGGATATCTGTGTATGGACTCGACCCACTTTGGTTCTGATGATGGGTTCGACCCATCAGTTCGGCCCATAGAATGAGTCCTGCAGCTCGGCCCTAGCCCAGTATTATAGTTGAATCGGCCTTTCTACTGCAATTTGAACCTAAGTGCTTGAGGACTTGGGTGGACTGTTGGTAACGGAGTTGGGCTTAGTTGGGTTGCCCACATGCTCATCTAACCCATTTGGATTTGGGCTTAGGAGATTAGACCGACCCAAAGCTTGGATCTGACCTATTTCATATTTAGCCACTTCATCCCGTTCAATCTACCAAGCCCTACCGAGCCCTCCCTTCCCAGCCACCAACACCGCTCACCATGCTCCTCCTTTTCCCTTCTCTCTAGCCTAACTACGACCACCATCATCAAATGCACCCTCAAGACAGTGGGATTGCAAATATCTATTCATATATTCATGTATTATGAAAGAATAAAGCAACGGATTTTTGATAAAAAAAAATTAATTCTTTAACCCAAGTAAAGCCCCATTTTCTTTCCTGTGAATCTTCTTTTTATTTTTAAAAAAATTTAAATTTATAAACTAGACCAGTTTTTTCATTGTGGTTCTTTTTTATTACTAATTTTGAAATTTACCATTGACCATTGAAAAGAAAACCTCTAAAACCTCTACTGACTTCAAATCTAAACCCACCATCACCACTACAAACACACAATCACCAACATCAAACTCACTTTTTTCAGCACAAACCCAGCATTATCGTTGTCATCAGTTGAGTAATATCCAAGGTGGTTTCCCAAGATAAGGAACAGAAATAGAGAACCAAATGGAAGAAAGATTTTTAAGCACACCTCACAATTTGGGATGACGTGGCAGCTCGTGATTGGGTGTTCGTACCGGATTCTCTTATTGCATTCTCTCCTTCAATTCCTCCGATAATGGTTAAGATTCATTCTAAAAGAATTTAATGGCTCAGATTACTTTATTAAAAATTAAAGAATAATTTTTTTAGAATGATCTACACCATTAAATTTTCTTAAAATGAATCTTGATCATTGCAAGGAGGAAGTGAAGTAGGAAAGATAAGGAGAGGATTCTTGCTCGTAGAGTCGATGGTTTGCGGGACGCCCGGGAATAAGTTATGAGTAACGGTGGTACTATATATACCAATTAGTGTACTAACACTAGTTATGACATTATTATTGACCTCACTCGTTATACAAATTACAAATACCAAAAACATCTTAAATTATGATACATCATCAATTGGTACACTAGTTAGTACACTATTTTGTGTATATAGCATTATTCTATGAGTAATGCTAGAAACCTCAAAAGTTTTACTAAATGTCTCACATGGGTGTGGAACCCATATCATGTGGGTCCTATGTTGGTCCCACACTCATGTGAGACATTTGGTAGAACTTTTGGAATGTCTAACATTTTTGATAAGTTATTCTCTTCTTTCATAGACGCTCTTAAATGTCATTCATTGAGTTTGATTTTAATATTTTGGATTTAATTTTTTAGAAATTAAGTTTTTTGTTTTTGTATTTTCTTTTTGTTAAATATTTTTAAAAATTTAAGTAATTTTCTTATATTTTTTTAGATGCACCTTACTTAGATATATATAAAAAATAAAATATTTATAAAAAATCAATAAATACACAAGAATATAAAAAAATATACTCAGGTCTCGTTTGGGAACAGACTTTTTTAGTAACTTTTTGACTTTTTGGCTAAAATATGATGTAAAAAAAACTAGTATGTTTGGAATGACTTTTTGACTTTTTACGAAAAGATGTGAAAAAAATAGAGAGAAAAAGAAATTTTTGACTTTTTGATATAGGTTGTTGACTTTTTAGATTTTTTTGCAACTTTTTGATTTTTTGACTAAAAAAGATTGTTGCCAAACGAGGCCTGAATTCTAATATTTTTTTGTATTATTGATATTTAGTCAATTTTCTAAAAAAAAATTTCACAAATATTATACTTTTTAAGTGTATATATGTTAGTTGTATCTAAAAATTAAAAAAATATATATTTAGAATATTAAAAAAATTTAATTTTAAAAAATATGAATCTTGAAAATTTAAACCAAACAAATCGATTACAACTCTTATTAAAGAAAAAATAAGGGTAAATTACATTGACACCTCCTGAGATTATGTTTATTACAGCTTCTCCCTTTACCTTTTGAAAATTACATCCCCCTTCCTAAAATTTAAAGTTTCATTACAAATTACTCTCTAAGGTTTAAAGTTTTATAACAGTTTGCCCCTTCACCGTAATGATCATCATATAAAAAATTAAATTAACAAAAAAAATCAGTGTAATTTCTTAAGTATGTCAATATAATTTATCCAAAAAAAATTAAAAAAAGAGTTGTTAAATGATAAATGAACACTCTCCCTATCATGGCAATAAAAGATTACAACCCAAATGAACAAAAGAGTGTGTACAAAAAACAAAAAATTGGACCAGTCCCTACCTAGGATCTTACCAGAATAAAAAATTAATAATGAAGTACCCACGCAAGTAAATAATAGAATAAACTGAACATGAGTCACTTCATAAACCTTTGCATCAATTAAAACAATTTATGGTTGGTTTGTGATGTGAAGGTTTTTTTAATTTTTTAATTAATTTAATTTAAAATTAAAAAATCTTATTTAAGATAAATTTTTTAATTTTTTAAACTTTCATAAGGGAAAAAAATAAAATTATTATGACTTAGATGTTGAATTAAAAAAATTATTTTATTTTTTTATTATTAAAATAATTAAAAAATCAAAAAAATATAACCGGCCAAACGAAACTTTAATTTGCTTTCAATTCATATGAAAATTTTCTTTCTGACACTCTTTATTTGTTTAGTGTGACAGTAACATAAAAAAAACAGAAGTAATATTACAAACCAAATGTTCACATACAAAACAAATGAAAGATAAAGAGAGTTTATCAATATCCACATGAGAAAGACAAATTAAAATCCCCACTTTTCCTTTTCCTTTTACTTTTCCTTTTCCTTTTCCACCTCTTTTGTAGTTATTTCTTGTTTCTTCCCTCCTATATTAATTAATAAAAAAGGAAAAACCCAAACACTCCCTTGCGTTGGGGCAATCACTTTGGATCCCTCAACCAAATCTTTTTGCCGGGTCAATAAAGCGGGCACAGGAGTCGGGGCGTGGGCACAGCAACGAGTCGGGTAGCTCTCGGAGCGGTGAGTCCGAACACGTCACCCATATCAAGCTCGCTGGGCTTCATCCCGTCCGGTAGCTCCCAAGTGAAGCAGTGAAGAAGATGAGCCACGGACATGTCCAGAGCATAGAGTCCGAGCTGCATACCCGGGCAAGACCTCCGACCCGACCCGAAAGGAATGAACTCGAAGTTGCTCCCCTTAAAATCCGGGACATTCTCTTTGAGGAACCGGGCGGGCCTGAAGGTTTCCGGGTCTTCCCAGGAGTTCGGGTCGCGCCCTATGGCCCAGGCGTTGATCATGACCCGGGATCTGGCGGGGATCCGGTAGCCGGAGATTTCGGCGTCCTCGGAGGTCTCGTGGAGGAGGAGGGGAATCGGAGGGTGGAGTCGGAGAGTTTCTTTGAGGGCGCACTTGAGGAAGGTAAGCTTTTCGAAGTCGGACTCTTCGACGCGCCGGTGTAGGCCGACCACGTCAGCGAGCTCTTGTTGGACTCTCTTGAGATCTTCGGGGCTTTTCATTAACTCCGACATGGCCCACTCGATCGCCGATGCTACCGTTTCTGTTCCTCCAAACATTACGTCCTGATGACAACATCAATACAACAGCAATATCTATCAACACACATTATATTATTATTTTAAATTAAAAGAAATTTATAAAGCCTTTTATGCATTAATTAAGTAGGCCAGCCAAACGAATAGAATAAAAATTAAATGTGAATGAAATTTTCAAAAATCACTATTCTTGACTTTTTTTTAATGGAGTTTTTATTTTATTTTGTTTTGTTTTGTTTTGTTTTGATTTTACAATTCATCTTGTTGAGTAAAATTTAAAAATTTAAAACTTTTTAAAATTTTAAAAAGAAATACTAAAACAAAAAATAAGTCAATAAAAAAGTAAATCCCAAATACTCCATAGTCACATGTGTGTGGTATCCATGTAGGCCTTACACTACAGTTTATAATGGTAACAAAATTGTTTAACTTCAGATCAAGGATTACAAAAGATAATTTTATGCTGTATAAAATTTATGTATAAAAATTTTGTTTTTATATCGTTACTCATATATAAAATTAAGTTGGAATAAAAAAAGTATAACTCATGGCCACCTTTAGAAAAATAAAATAATTGAATAAGGATAATTTTGGTGGATTCATCATGCTTACATGTAAATTCTGAAATAATTTTTTGTATTTTAATTCTATATTTAGGCTTATTGAAATAAAAACTGCACAAATTTAACTCCTTCCATGGTTAGAAAAATGAGATTGCCATAGAGGGGGAGAAAAGGAAAAAAAAAAATTTTGAACATAACATTTTATAAATAGATTAGAGTAGGAAACATTTTTAAAAAAAAATTATTAAAAGGAAAGGATGAAATGAATAATCACCATTTTTTTTTTTAAAAGTCGTTTTATGTATAGTAAAAAAGCAATAATAAAAACTCTATTCATAGTGCTTTTTCCTTTGTTCAAAAAATAAATAAATTATGGTGCTTCTTCCTCACTTGACTTTATCTTTTTTTTCTACCAAACTCAAAGAAGTGGATGAAAATCACATCAATTTTGAATAACAATTCTCTCACCACAACAATTTCGATAACATTTTTTTGCCAACACAGAATTATTCAAGACATATATCATCACAATTATTAGTGATGATCACACGTCACAAATGTTGAATTATTGCAAATGAACATTAATTATAGTGAGTCCCTGACAAGTTGGTTGGAAGTTGATTAAGATTAAAAACACACACACAAAAAAGAAGCTAAATAAGTCAATAAAATATAATATTACATACAAATCATAATTATTTTACCTTTTTTTTCATAAAAAAACAATAGTTAAAAAACTCTTACCAAATTAAAATAATTTAGTTAGACTAAATTAGTCAAAAAATAAAAAAATCAGATTAAATTTTTTTTTTTTTAAACGAACCCGAAGGCTGTTGGTTAAGAAAATAATTTTTTTGAGAAAAAAGTATTGCATTTATTTATTTATTCCAAAGACCTAATAAATAAGTATATAAAATTAAGAAAATTCTCAAGTGTGTATTACACGTCGTATGTAATTCTACCCCAAAATTACATAAATTAAATATAAATTTGTGTAAGTCTTAAATTTTTATGAACTTATACGAGTTTGTACTGTACTTATTCATTTTTATAAAATCACTTATATAAATTTATAAAAACTTATATAATTTCATAATAAAATTACATACTACATGTATGTGTGGTATATGGAAATATGCCCCACAAAATTAACACTATAAACAAACATTATTTCACTACGCCAAAATTAGGCTTTAGCGGCGGTTTTTTACCGCCGTTAAAGGCTGTAACGGTGGTATTAACGGCGGTTTTGTTACCGCCGTTTATGCGTGTGTCGAAAAAAGTACAACCGTCGTAAAAAGGTAAATTACCGTCGTTAAAAGTCGACCAAAAACGGCGGTTTTTTACCGCTATAAATAAGTTCAAATTTTTCAAAAAATAATTCTTTCTTCTTACACTCCTCAAGTCTTGAATCCTCAACCTCTCATCCACCCACACTAACCACTCTATCATAGCCACTCTTCATGAAATATATTCCCTAAATAAATATTTAAACATGACTATTTTACTTTATTGTAGATGGTTTCGCCGGAGTTTCGCCGGAGTTTCGCCGGCAAAGACCGCCGTCATTAACGGCGGTAATGATTGGGCATTAGCGGCGATTTTGTTACCACCGTTAAAAGTGGGCATTAACGGCGGTTTTTTTAACGGCGGTAACAAAACCGTCGTTAATGATACCTTTAACGATGGTTTTCGTTACCGCCTTAATAGTACCTTTAACGACGATTTTCGTTACCGCCGTTAAAAAAATCACCGTTAATGCCCTGTTTTGGCGTAGTGTTTGTTCATCACAAAATATCTTTTACTTTTTGTTGAATACAATTTTATGAGAGAAACATGTGGCATAAAACAATTCGTAAAGGTGGTACAAAAATAACAAGTGGATATGAGTAAATTGCTAAAGGAGTATTGATGAGTGTGAGTGAGTGGACAAAAACTTTTATTTTCTACAAAATATTGACATATAATTTTAATGTTCGGACTGCTTAATCCAGTTTAAATCTGAACTGTAAAGTTGTTTTTTTGAATTGCGCTAATTGGGCTCTTAGTATTTTGCGCATGACAATAATATTTCGTGCATTAAAAAATTGGTCACATTCCAAAATTCTTGTAATAAAACTATTATACATATATAGGTTTTTACTTAATTTTCTTATTACTTTTTTAATAATTAGATATTCATATCAGTTTACTAATACTTTAACTAATTTTAGAATCCTAAAATTAAAAACCGGACAAATCTCTTACGACTTATTTAAATGATTTGAATTTAAAATTTTTATTACTCAGTCAATCCAGACAAACTTTCAATTTCCTTATCATTAGATCCAAAGAAATTTAAACCATCTATTAATCATACTATCTTCAATGCCATACCCTACTGGATAGCGGCTTCTGTGATATGTTATGTTGTTTAATGTAACTGTTCAAATCTTAAGTTGGAGAATAACGAGATTAGCTTAAAAATTTATTTAAAATAAAAAGTAATATTTTAAAATTATTTTGTTTAAATTTTATATTAGAACCATTAAATTATATCATTTGCTAATGTGTCTAGTTTCTGTAATTTTTTTATTTTTATTTTTTCATATTAGTGAAAGTCAGTTGTTAGTTGTTAAATTAGGATATATGAGAATTAGCTTCTCCACTCTTACAAAGCACTAATGCTGTGTTTGGTTAGAAGATTTGATGAGGGATTTGAAAAAAAAATGTAAAAGGTAGGTGAAATGTGAATAAAACATGCCTATATTTCACCTAATTTCATACACCTTTTCCCTTTCCCTTTTCAAATTCCTCTCTAAATTCTCCAACCAAACACAGTATAAGTGATTACACCCTAATTCAACTCCCCCTTAGATAAGGTTGAACACATGACCTCTCCCTAAGATTAAACCTTTAAAAGAGTCATAATGTGTAATTAAACTAGGCCCAGTTAGTTGCTAACGTGCAGGACGGAACTAGGATTCCATTACAAGAGAGGCCAAAAAGAAAAATAATTTTTTTTAAATATATATACAAAACACACATGTACGTATATATGATATATAAAATATATTTACATAGAAAAGAAATTTAATACTATAGAAGTAATTTCTAATAGGATGAATACATTTTTTTATTGATATAAAATAGAAAAAAAAAATTAAAATGAAAGAAGAATGACATTTTTTATATTGAAAAGTCATTTTATATATAAAATTATATATATATATATATATATATATATTTTTAAAAAAAATTCTAAAGTGATTACACCCTAATTCAACTCCCTCTTAGATAAGGTTGAACACATGACCTCTCCCTAAGATTAAACCTTTAAAAGAGTCATAATGTGTAATTAAACTAAGCCTAGTTAGTTGCTAACGTGCAGGACGGAACTAGGATTCCATTACAAGAGAGGCCAAAAAGAAAAATAATTTTTTTTAACTATATACACAAAACACAAATGTACGTATATATTATATATAAAATATATTTACATAGAAAAGAAATTTAATACTATAGAAGTAATTTTTAATAGGATGAATACATTTTTTTATTGATATAAAATAAAAAAAAAATTAAAATGAAAGAAGAATGACATTTTTTATATTGAAAAGTCATTTTATATATAAAATTATATATATATATATATTTAAAAAAAAAATTCTATGACAAATAATAATATTTACAAAAACAGAGTGATCATAACTCCTTGTATTCTTCTCCTAATTTTGTCCTTACTAACGTGTCTACCTATGATAAAATCATTTAAGTCCTCCTTACCAACCCCAAACGCCACCAACGGGGGGTGGTGGTCCAGTAGTATTTCGGGCACTTTTCATGCAAGTTGTCTGGATTCGACACTCACATTGTATTTGAGAATTCAGAAGAGAAAAGAAAAGAAAAAATTATTTATGTAATAAAAGAAAAGAAAAAAAAATTGTGATTGCTCTCATTTTTATTTGAATAAAGAAGAAATAAAAGAAAAGTAATGATTATGATTTCTCTCATTCTTATTTAGTTAGATTTCATTAAAAAAAAAGAAAAAAAATTATTTTATGTTATATTACCAAAATAACCTTTTTATATTTTCAATCATTTTGTTTGTTTTATTTTTATAGAGACAAAATTGATATTATGAAAATAATGATTTCTTTTCTTTCTCAATCTTTCTATTTTTTGGAAGATTCAAAATGAGACTTTATAAGAGAAATGAGTTTCTCTCCATTTCTTTTAATTTCTTTTCATTTCTCTCTATTTAAATTATCCAAATAAATAAAAAAAATACATATTTCTTCATTTCTTTTCTTTGCCCTCCAAATTACTCAATCCAAACATAGCGTCAGGGTTGCAATTTTTGAACAATACATTGTATTCCTGTTGAAAAACTCTTACGACTCTTATTATAGATCAGGTGTGGAACTCACTATTACCCCAGTTGAAGATCCCTTCTTTTCAATTAGATTAAATCTGACTGTTAACAGATTATTCCAAAACTAGAGCCTGCGAGAGCTATTATGCCCCCACAGGATTTTTTTTTTTTTAATAATGTTAGTGGTCATGAAAAATATATCATAAATATTATTATGAAAGTTTCTCAATCTTTGGATTACCTATATAATAAAACATCACATAATAATCAAGGGATAAAAAATTTTCATAATATATTTTTTATGATCCGTAATATTATTTAAAATTCAAATACACTGAATATAATTAAAATGAAGAATTGTATAATGACAGGATTGCCCTTCCAGTATTTGCCATGCAATTCATGAGCATGTGATTTCGCCTGACACGGTGTCAGGTGAAGTGATGCCGCAGATATATATATATAATATTAAAAAAAAAATAGTTTAGTTATATGGTGTAGGACTAATATAATTACCATGATGATAGCTTTGATGTTATCTCTAGTGAGCTTGATAGCGTTCTGTAAATCGTCCGATTCAGTGACTTTGGCTTCATCACTGTAAAAAGCAAGCAAATCGTCCACCATATCAGTAGTCCCCTCATCATCGGCGCATGTACTCGTCTTATATTTATGCATGTGATCGTCGATGATCGAGTCAATAAACCCATCAAGCGACGCACGAGCCTTAGCGAGTCTATCCCCGAGTCCCTGCGGGTCAACCCAGCTCAACGACGGTATAAAATCGGCAATGTTAAAAGCGCCGAAAAGTTTCGAAAACTCCTGCAGTATCTTAATGAAATCGTCCTGACCCTCGTGAGAACTCGACCCGAAAGCAGCCCGGTACGTGATGTTCCGGGTCAGCGCGAAAACCATCTCGCCGATGTTCACGGCTGAGCCGGCGCTGGTGACTACGCTTCGGACCATGTAGTCGACTTCGTCTCGTACGGACTCCCACGACTCGGCTCGTTTGCGGCTGAAGAGCTTCATGACACAGAGCTTGCGCATCTGGCGCCAGAACGGGCCGTAGTGAGCGAAAGCCATGTCGGCTCGGTCGTAGGTGAGGTAGCTGATGGCGATGGTGGCGGGTCGGTTCGAGAAGATGTTGTCTTGGACTTGGAGAACTTGTCGGGCTATTTCGGGTGAAGAAACCGCCACCATGTGGAGATAACCCATCCGGAGGTGGAATAAGCCGCCGTATTTCTTGGCAAGCTTGGCTAAGCCGCGGTGGGTCAGCTGGTCCATCATCATCATGTTTCCGATCAAAGGCAAGCCTTTTGGGCCCGGCGGGTAGGGAAGCTGACGGCGGAGCCGAGTTAGGAGGAACAAGAAAAGTAAAGGGATAATGAAGAGCGCCATGGAAATGGGTTGGAAAGCTTCGAGAATAGAATTCATTTCCATTCTCTCACTCACTCTCTCTCTCTCTCTCTCTCTCTCTATGTAAACGGGCTTTTGAAGTTTTTCCCTCTATTGTGCAACTTCTGAGATGTTGCTGGCTTTTTGAAGATATTATGAAGTAGTTTATATACAAATTTGGCTGTGGTTCCTGTTCGTTGAGGTTGGTGGGGGTGATCCCTTCTTTATTTTCACACGCACTCTAAGAAATATTAATTTATTATCATTGTTATTTGTGTCCATTTAAGTCTGGTTTGGAAATATTTTAGTGATTTTGATAACAAAAATGTTAGAGGTGCTAAAAATTTTACTAAAAATTCTATCAAATGTTTTATATGGGGTGGGACTCACATGGGACCTACATTGTATGGGTCCTACACCCATGTGAGACATTTGGTAAAACTTTTGGTAGAATATTTAGGATCTCTAGCATTATTCTTTTGATAATGTTCCGGACCCCCTTTTCCTCACATCTTTTTTGACCCTCTCTTAATATGATTGGTCAATTTTTTTTTTTCTTTTTTTTCCTTCTTCTTCAATCACCAGCCGCCACGTGTGTGTGGGGTGGTGGGGTGATAATTGGAGGGGTCTCAATCATAACATTTTTTTAATTTTTTAATTAAAATGTGATAAAAAATTAATATATTTGAGATGATTTTTTAATTTTTTATTAAAAAATGTGTGAAAAGTAGAATAAGTGAAAAAAAATCTTTGACTTTTAAATTTTTCTTTTGACTTTTTAATTATTTTTTAATTATTATTATTAAAAAATTGTTAATTAATTTAAAGATATCACGTAGTTATATTCTTAACCAACTATGCTTTTACAATCTTCCATATTTTTTAATTATTAAACATAAAATTGTAAATCTTATCCATTTACCAAACAAAATAGGTATGGAACATCACATAACGATGCCTCAATACCTCAATACCTACAGATAACTTCTCATCATTACCAGCTACTAGCTACTGCATAAGTAGTGGGGTCAGAGAGCAAAACAAGTTTTTATAAAAAAAAATTTAAATACACGGCTGGGTTTAGTATTAAAATAGAGGAACGATCTCCATAAGATTAAAAGATTTATTTTATGAGATTCAGGTTTTTAAAAATTAAAAAATCAATAATTTATACTAAAAAATTAAAAAAAAATCTTTCTATTTTTACGTATCTTTTTATAAAAAATTTAAAAATCATCTCAAATATATTGATTTTTTTGATACCATATTTTAACAAAAAAGTCAAAAAAATTATTAAAAAAAATTTGTTCCCAAACGAGGCCTCACTATGAATTCTATTTTGATAATTTGAATTGTTTATTTTGTCGAATATTTTGGATATTTTATCCACACGACAAATTAGGCCGATCTAATAATTGTAACTTGTTTAATTTTTAACTAAAAAACAGACAACAAGTCTGTTTGGTAACGTTTACGTTTTTAGTTTATATTTACAAAAATTTTATAAACTGGTTTTTGTATATTTTTTTTTATTTTTAGAAAAACATAAACTACAAACGCGTTTGGTAATTGACAAAATGTTTTAAAAAAATTAAAAATATAAAAAAAGCGAGAAATGGCAAGTGGTGGCAAGTGGCGGTGGAAGACGGTAGTAAAAAGTGGTGACGGTGGGTGGTGGGTAGCGGATGGTGGCGGTGGGTGGGTGGGTGACAGTGACGGGTGGTGGGTGGTAGCGAGTGGGTGGTGGTGGTGGTGGTGGTGGTGGCGGGTGGTAGGTGGTGGTGGTGGCAGGTGGATGGCGAGTAGGTGGTGGGTGATGGTGGTGGTGGTGGGGGTTGAAAGAAAATACCCAATAAACAACTTCATGTTGGATAGGTGAAAAAGTGAGAATAAGAAATTGGGTTTTGTTGAATTTTGAGACACTGGTAAAAGGGAATAACAGTTGAGAAGAAAAGCAAATGGGAAAAGAAGGATTTGAATTGAGTTAAAGAAAGCAGAGAGAGAGAGAGAGAGAGAGAGATGATGGTGGTGGCGGGGTTTGGGTTTGAATGATGTCGGGGGGATGGCACTGAGCTTTTGATAGAGAAAAGAAAGGAGTGATGTTCCCACGCGCCCTGAAAAGTCAATCTCTGTTCAATTTTTGTCCCCACCAAAATTAATTTTGTTTTATTTTTTGCTGCATTCTTTTTTTTCTTTTTTTAAATGAGCAAAAAAAATGATAGATGGTGGGAGGTGGGTGGTGATGGCGGAAGACGGTGGTGGAAAAGGGTGGCGGGTGGTGGCTAGTGTTGGGTGGTAAAAAAAAAAAAACTGAAAATGAAAATACATTTTTTGTGTTTTCATTTTTTGGGCAAATTTATAAACTGAGACCACTGATTTATAAATCAAAAATTTACCAAACAAGTTTTTATTTGAGTTTTTTAAATTTTTATAAATATAAACAGAAAATTGAAAACGTAAGTGTTATCAAACGGCACCTTATGTTTTTAAAAATAAATTATATTTTTTTAGTGACAAATGCAATAAATTGAACAAGTTATAATTATCGGATTGATTTAATTTTTTTGTGGACGAAATATACAAAGTGCCCAACAAATGAATAGTTCAAATTATTGAAATGGGCATGTGATAGGTCTCGCGGGTCTAAAGAGCGCCCTCCAAATCAGAATCTGGACTGAAAATGATCCATTCTCATTAAAATATGGGTTATGTTTTGTTTTCGTTTCATATAAATCAATTTGATATACCCAACTGTTTTATTTGTACTTAAATAATTACGAGGTCGTTTTTGCCCAAATTTTATCAACATTTATGAAAAATATATTCCTTTATAAAATTTGAAAGAAAGGAAGAGGAGGGACTATTTAAATACAATTGGAATAAATCAATATCAAATTAATGCAATTAAAATATTGATTATTGAAATAACACAAGAATATATTTTGAGAATCCCCAGTGTATTTAAGTCATACATAAAGTGTTATATTTGAATGAATTTTTAACATAATTTTATTTCATGGTTTACATAGATGGTTGTGATTATTTTTGTTTCAATGAAATTATATAATGGGGGTGTTTGGCAACTTCCTGGTTTGGGAACATATTAATTTAGTAATTTTTTGACTATTTGACTCAAATATGAGCTAAAAAAAATTAATATATTTGGGATGACTTTTTGACTTTTTACGAAAAAATGTGCAAAAAGTAGAGAGAAAAGAGAATTTTTGACTTTTTGGTATGTATTGTTGGCTTTTTGGCTGATTTAGTAACTTTTTGACTTTTTGACTAAAAAAGATGGTTCCCAAACGAGGCGGTTTAAGTTATTTTTTAGTTAAAATTCACAAAAAGATAAAATAAGCTAAAATATCTAATAAGACAAAATGTCACATTAAATCCATAATTATTTCTTTTTTTTTTCCACAAACATCACATCCAACTATAAAAAAATATAATCATCTTCTCAAACATAAAAATTTTAGCCTACTAAAATAGCCAAAAACTAAAACAACCTACTAAAATAGTAACTTCCCAAACACCCACAACATGTCCATCATAAAAGAGACAATTACAATTTAGTGTAAGATTTTAAATTAATAATTAATTTTATAAATATTAATAATTAATTAATTAATTTTTAATTTATAATTATTTTGTGAAAACATTACCTAACAATGTGTGTGTATATATATATAGTAGGGTAAATTACATTAACACCCTATGAGATTTATGTTTATTACAGTTCCCCCTTCACCTTTTGAAAATTACATCTCCCCCCGAGGTTTAAAGTTTCATTACAAATTTTTCCTTCAGTAATTTAATTTTTTAAATACCAATTTTGCCCTCATTGAGTAAATTACATTCACACCCCTCACATTTTAGAAATTACAATCCCCTCCTCCCTAAGGTTTAAAGTAGCATTACCAATTGCCTCATCCGTTAGTATTAGTTGGAAAAAAAACTCATTGAAAAAAAAATTAATTGGAAAAAAATATTATTTGAAAAAATATTTTGTTTGTAAAGTTTTTAAATTTGTATTTAAAAACCAACGTAAGCTCATTTTTTGAATTTATATTTTTTTCTCAAATTTACAAACTGAGACAACTATTTATAAACTAAAAAAATTATCAAACAACTTTTTATGACAATTTTTAAAATTTTTGTAAATATATATTGAAAACTGAAAACGAAATGGTTACCAAATAGGTTTGATGGTAAAAATATCGTAAAATTAACAAATAATTAAATAAGTTATCAACGTAAGAAATGACTTATCAAAAGATTCTTAGGTTATGTATGGTTTGATTTTGAGAATTTTTTTAAAAATAATAATTATTAATTGGATTAAAAAATAAAAAATAAAAAGTAAAAATATTTTGTGTTTGGTGGTACACAGCCTAAGAATACTAATTCTTAGGCTATGTATGGCTTGATAATTATTTTTTATTTTTTATTTCTTATTTCTTAACCAAATTAATTTTTTATTTTAAAAAAAAAAGTTCTAAAAATCAAATCATACATAGTCTAAAAATCTTTTGATAAGTCATTTCTTACGTTGGTAACTTATTTAATTATTTGTTAATTTTACGACAATTTTACCATCAAGTCTGTTTGATAACCATTTCGTTTTTAATTTTCAATTTATATTTACAAAAATTTAAAAAACTGTCATAAAAATTTGTTTGATAATTTTTTTGGCTTATAAAAGGTTGTCTCAGATTGTAAATTTGAGAAAAAAACGTAAATTCAAAAAATGAGCTTACGTTGGTTTTAAACAGAAATTTAAAAACTTTACTAATAAATTTTTTTTTTTAAATAATTTTTTTTTTCAATGAATTTTTTTTCCAACTAATACTAACCGAGGGGGCAATTGGTAATATTACTTTAAACCTTAAGAAGGGGATTGTAATTTCTAAAATGTGAGTGGTATCAACGTAATTTACCCAATGAGGACAAAATTGGTATTTAAAAAAATTAAATTTCTAAAAAGAGAATCTGTAATAAAACTTTAAACCTCAGAGGGAGATATAATTTCCTAAATATGAAGAAAGAACTGTAATAAATATAAACCTCAAAGGGTGTTAGTAGAATTTACCCTATATATTAAGGTTAAGTTTGGCATACACAAAATAATCCATCTTTTTATCTTTT